CCTTAAAGGAGGAGTGGTCGAAATTTGATGTCAATATTCTTAGGGAGGTTATTGACTCAATGCCAAGAAGAATTAACTTGTATTGGAGGCAAAAGGAGGGCCAACAAAATATTAATTAAATATGAAATAATTTTTTTATGTATGATATGAAAAAATAAAATAAATCGAAATTATATTTTAAGTATTATGATAATTGAAAATCGGGCGTTACTTTTTGAGGCGACTGTACATTTGAACATTATCAATGAGTTTTTTTACATTGTACATGTATATTCTAAACGTAAATATATACAGTCAACAGGAGACTAAACAGAGAGATGAAACTATAACAAAAGGTCTACTTCAAAGCGCGTTTTTCTTCAAAAAATAGCTTGAAACTTATGAATGTTGAAATGGAATATACGTTTGGAATGATTTATGACAATACACGTAAAAAATGAAGCAGAAATTGAAGATTTAAACATAAACTAGTCAAAATTTTGTTAGATGTAAATATGATACCTATCATACCAGTTGGCCAAGAATAAAATAGTAATCTTTATTGAAGTTATGAGTGCCAAGCAAGCTGCAAGTATAATGGTCTCTTACCAAGTACAAAAGAAACAGGAAAAACAAAAATTTACCACTGTCTGAGAGACAGAGACCATAAGCTCTTAACAATAAAAAAATTGCATATATGCAAGAAACTAAAAAAGACATCTTAAGCCGGTAATAAAATCTCTGCAAAAACCACTGAAGATTCTCTAAGGTAATTTTGTCCCTTCTCATAATATAATTTGTTCATTGATTTGAGAGAACATGATGTTTCAAAAAAATAACACATAATCTACATTGGGAAAGAAGTCACGAAATACATGTAGATTCAAATAGAGATATTTCGACACTAACTTCATAGAAGTAATTGGAGAACGATCTTCAAAAGTGTAAAAGCTTTCCAAGGATTGTGAAAAGCTCAAGACTACTCTGAAGGAAGCATGCTCAAAATTTGATGTGTTGGTTTTTGAGGAGGTTGTAGACTCAATGCCTTGAGAATCAAAGCAATATTAAAGCCCAATACGAAGAGTTAACGTTAATAATGTATTAGTTAGTGGTAAAAAAAGATTTTTATATACATAAGACAAAAATAAAATAAATTGGATATGTATCTGAAATTTCATTTTAAAAAAAAATCGGGCGTTACTTTCTGTGACGACTTTATCTCGCTTTCAAAACTTATGTATAATTAGATTTGATAAATAATTTAATAAGAACACGCAGTAAGTATTTATCATTACCACAAGGATTAACTTTAATATAATATAATGTAGATATATTTATGTTTATTAAGAGTTATGATTGACGCACTTTTTCGTTTTCTTGGTCTTTTCGACATGTATTTTTTTATTTAAGAAATTAAAAAAGACATGCATCGAGTACCAAAAAAATATCTGATAAAAACATCCAACCAACTGCCACTCCGCAGTAAAATCAACAATCACTCATACCATAATTCAAAGAATTTGCAGGTAAGGTAATATAAGAAATAAGAAAAAAGAAATACACATAGAGTCCCCGCAAAAATTTGAAGAACTTTTTTTCTATGCAACTACTACATGAATACGTGTTGCCGCTCCGCAACACAAACGACTTCCACTCCTACCGTGAAATAACAAAAAAGACGATGTATATGTAACAACAATACAAAATACAAATAAAAAATAAAAATTGCATTCTCAAATGAAAGAAGGGAGTTCGTGAGTTGTGCTTTCATAATGATTAATTTATTATTGTGATCACTAATAGTTTGTTGTGATCACTAGTAGTGTGTTTGTGTGTACTTTATACCTAATGCTAAAAATACAAAGAATAAAATAAAAAAAAAACGAAACGCAATTTACTTCTAATAAGAGTTAATAAGGGTATAAGTTATATGCATATCAAAACGAGCAATGAGAATGCAAATAAAATTGAAAGGGAAAAATATATAAGATCAAAAAAATTAAAGGGGAATAATAATAATAATAATAATAATGTTAAAATTTAGAATTTTACGTTCCTTATATCTCGACTTTTTCTACACGATTGTTACATTTGTATCATTTTGTTGATGAATGGTTTCCTCTTTGATAGTTTTGGTTTCTCCAGTTCTTGTATTAACAGTGATTAATCTGTCCACGTGATAATAAGCCAATTCACCCAATTCAGCTTCATCCAATCCTTTTTCTTCGGCTTCTTGATCAGCGCGAAGAGAGCAGTATGGGATTTTATCCATAATATATAATATTACGAGGGTGACTACGAAAGAATAACTTGCTCCGGCTACTGAATCGGCAAGTTGGTATCCTATTTGGATCCAATGACCGTCCAACCAACCTAAGCCATCGGGAGCAGCGGGAGTACCATCAAGAACAAGGATTGAATTTTGTGCAAAGATGCCCGTTAATATATTTCCAACAATACCACCAACACCGTGAACCGCGAACACATCAAGAGCGTCATCGTAATCTAACCAATGCTTGAGTTTTACGGCAATATTACACGCAATACCACCGATAACACCGAATGCAACCGCAGCTGGAGAACCGACGAAACCGGAGCCAGGAGTGATTGCGACCAAGCCAGCAACTGCGCCTGAGCAGAAACCGAGTGCAGATAATTTACGCTCAAGTCGATAATCTAGCAACATCCAAGTTAGACCACCAACCGCAGCTGCCAAATTTGTAACGACACAGGCCATAGCAGCACGAAGATTTCCAGCTAATGCAGAACCACCATTGAAACCGAACCATCCAAACCAAAGTAAACAAGCTCCTAATACAACATTAGCGATGTTGTGTGGTTTGAATTCGTCTGTTCCATGTCCATGACGTTTTCCGACAACAAGACAATAGGCCAGTGCAGCAGCACCAGATGAAATATGGACGGGCGTACCACCGGCAAAGTCAAGACCACCCATCACATGAGACCATCCATTTGTGGACCAAGTCCAACATGCGATTGGATCATAGACGACAGTTGACCAAATAAAGATAAATAAAATTGCCGGTAGAAGTCTGCCACGTTCTGCTGCTGAACCGATTGCCAGAGCTGGGGTGATAGCGGCGAACATACATTGATAGATAGCAAACACAAGATCTGGAATTCCAGAACTACCGACTGATGGATCATCTCTGACGCCTCTGAGGAAAGCGTTATCCAAATTGCCAATGTATTTACCACCGCCTTTGCTGAATGTTAAACTATAACCCCAAAGCCACCACTAATAATTTCAAAAGTCATAATCGATTAAAATAAATCTTTGAAAAAAAAAATAAAATAAATCTGACAAATCAACAACGTAAATAAATTTTTACCTGAAATGAAACAACAGCAATTGACAAAACACTTAACATGATAAGTGACAATGCATTTTTGCTACGTGCCATTCCACTATAAAAGTAACCGACACCCGGTATCATAAGCCATACTAACGCAGTACTAACTAATACATACGCAACATCACCATCGTTGTATGGGGCAGATGGATTTGTTGAATTTGTTGACATTTTTTTATGCAACGACTATAATTTTTATTAATTTAATTATTTTAGTGAGAGTGAGGATAAAATAATTATATATTATACATATATGTTGTAATTGGAATATTAACGTATGTTAAAATGCGGTCAAAAGAAAATCTGGGTCGTTTTATACCTTTTTACATCTTTTTAAACTTGTACTTTACTGAATTTTTTGTTAACGATATAATTATTAATTTATTTTTACTCATACATTATCTCTACATACATGTAAATAAATAAATAAATAAATAAAACAAAAATAGAATTTGTGCGTTAAAAAAATTGTATACTGTACAATAAAGATCAATATTCTTCCGTGTATACATTTTGGGCGTAATGAAATAATTTTTTTGGCTTATCTACAGACATTAATTGGATGAAAAAGAACAATCAATAATGATTGGTCATAATCTAACTATCGATACGAAAATCATTGATAACAAAAAAACTCGTTTTTGACTACAGAGTTTTCGCAGTCTAACTGTTTTAATTCTTTGAATTTTTTAGTTGCAGTTGGTTGCACAAGGATCTCGATCATTAAACCAATTAGTCAAAAACAAGACACACACGTGTAGTAAACGTTATTTATATTGAAAAATGGTATGTGAGTTTTACTTAAAGTATTTCGCTCCAAAAGATCAAGATAAGATTAAAAGTACTTTAAAAAATTTCGGACATATAACCATAACCATTTTATTAAAATTGATAGATATCGATACGTTTAGTTGTCGTGCTTAAAGATTTCTATCAAAACCGATTTTGGTTGCACGTATATTGATCATTAGGACATCTCCGTAATAATAAAATTGCGTGTTGCGAATTCATTGATAAGGAATTCACTTCAATATGACTCCGAATACACAATCTCTAAATCAGCATTGACAGGGTTTATATACTATAGCACATGTATTACGTATTTATTCATGCACAAATTAGAGAGTCTCGTGGGTTTCGTATTACCTTTCTAGTTGTCACGTTTGCACATTACTCCATTTTCGAGTGCTCGGTGATGTTTCCATTCGCTATCAAGTATTACAAACTTCCGATATTTCCCATTATGCTACGCATGCCAAAAGTCCCTATTAATTCATGAAAAAATGTAAGCTTATAGAATGGAAATTTGGCGTTATTCTGGTTAAAAACTAAGACACTTTTGATACATGTATATGACGTGATATAAACTTGGAATATTCTTTATCATTATAAAGAAACAATTTTGTCAGGCATTATTCGTTATTGTATTCTTTACGAGATTGTTTCCCGTTTTGGAATCAGATATGTACCATATACACAAGTTTTAATGGGACCATGTCGAATATATCCATTTGATTTACATAATTAAGATTTTAGAAATCATCATTCCCACATTAATCAAGATGATAGATCTTTTCATGGCACATCAGGAAAGCTTATTGTGTGGATGGATAATCAAAGAATTACCTGTTGCCTAAAGCGGAAATTTTTGATAATCTGTTAATTTTTAGGAATTTACTTATCTAACGCTAACATCGATACGAGTGTTCGGTAACTTACGCGCGAAATAAATTCAAGATACGCGCATATAAAGTCATGCATAATTACAACAATGGTGCAATAAACAAAGAATGGCAATACATGATGATTTACTATTTATTTACAATGCTTATCTTTGGGTTCACGAAAATAATTGCAAGCGACTAATACGGTACTGATAACAAAAATTGACAGGTGGGAACGTGTGACGATGTAAAGTTGCATTGAATGCAGTATCTGTGGCGTTTGTGTTTGTCATGTGTGCTCAAAATTAATAATCTTCTTTCTATTATAATGCCCTTATCTTTGCTCAAACCCTTGACCTCATTTATATTTGCAATTGAAAGGTGTCTTTCCTTTCGGAGAATTATCCTGACAAAACCTTTGTGGTTCTTTTCTGTAACTTGTAAGTATTTTCAAAATATTCTTTGTGGATAACAAATGCGGTACAACAATAACAGATATAGATAACAAATATGTGTATAACTTCTCGTTCTACATGAATAAAAACTTAAAATTTGTTCTCAAAGTAATACACAATTGTGCATGTACATGAATTTTTTTTTAGACACGTTATCTTTTACATGTACTTATAAACCTCGCGTAATGGCATTTCCGCTAACTAAAACGATTTTATTCCATAGAACCGGAAAATCATTGAATATCAACTTTTCTATACCAGTGTACTTTGGCAATTATTAAAGTTTACCAACTGAAAATGCACACTAACAAAAACATTTTTGCAGCAATTAATTATAATAAACATGTGCATTAGCTAGGTTCAAAAAAGTGTGTTATTTATGCGGAATGCAATTAATTAATGTACTGAAAAAAGCTAAATTTATTTAAGAACAATTTTCACAACCTAGTTGTTTACAATCAATTTAATTATTGCATATAAGTCCTAGTGAAAACACAAAAAATTTTTAATTTATCGTTATAGAATGATGCTTTAGAAAAATAAAAAAAATAATAATCTTTAAGGAAAAGGTTAAAACGCATGATGCCATTGGAAAACATACGATCATGCCCTTATTTGATAATTCGGAAAATTCTTTTTCTTTTAGTTCAAGACGCTAACGCTAATGGTAAATTTTAATACAGCAGTGGTTGTGGTATATGACAATGATGCATGATAAGATTTGTGAAAATTGTCAATTACAAAATTCCTTTAATAGCCGTTTATTAATAACTCGTAATTGACCCATGCACATATTACAATCAGGTATATTCAAAGAAACTTGTATTTCTCCAACGTGGTTGGTAATTTCGATAGCTTTTTTTGCGGAAAATTTTTTATATATCCAGTTTCGTCCGTGTAAGCTTTCTTTATGTGTAGAAAATACACGTGTAATAATTAATGTACATGTATTTTGTTATCGTTATACGTTATACAAGTACAAAACCAAAAATTTGACGTCACAGCATTCAATTGGATTTTATTTCGAACCCAGATGATATATATTAATTACTAAAATTTACTTTTAACGAATTTTTTTTATTAAATAATTACATGTATATATAAGAAAATACTAATTGTCATTTTTTTTGCACTTTACTATATATTTGCTTCTAAAATTTTTTTCATCAATAACCGGAAAGTCAGAAGTAATATCTATTTTCTTTAACAACCCGCAAGTGCATTTGCTAAAATGTTTGAAATTTAGCAAAATAGAATTAGGATAATTATTTTAAGTCTAAGAGATAATATTTATCCAGATTTTTAATCGATTTATGGATAAATGGTTTAGCAGTGAACCAATACATCAATTTTATTAAATTCATAGTATTCATTAAAAAAACCGACAGAAATTTCTTTAACATTTATATTTTCATTAACCCGCATTTTAGTCTCATTGGGACAATTTATAGTATGTTTGAAGTTACCAAACATCATATATGTTATCCATAATACATGTACATGTTTGTTCGGTGTAACAGACAATCAGACATCTGCATTTGCATATATGTAAAATTTTTCGTTTTGTCAGGTTTAGGCATCCACTTGTATATTATATATTTGGAATTATGTTTAATGTATATTCTTTGTATAATATCGTTTGTAAATTTGCTTAATATATATATTTCATAATTTTGTATTTAAGTTAAATTTAAAAACTAAGATTTATAGGAAATTTTAATGACATTTAAGTAAATTTGTTCGTATCATATAAATTTTTCATGTGTAGTACAAAGACCTCATGTATTGAAAATTAACATTTTTATTTTTCATAATAATCCTATTGTGTTTCAGGAAATTTCTAGTCGGTTTCATTATATAGAGGTCATTGTGCCTTTTTAAAATCTTTTTTTACAACACATAAATAATTATATCAATTTTTTATAAATTGCATTTAAGCATTAAAAAACATATCTCGAGTGACTAAGTTATTTAGTCTATTTTTAAATATTTAAATTCTGATTTTTCTCAATTTAAGCAACTTTCATACATAATAATAAAATATAAGCTGATTAACTTTACTTAGTCACGTGTATGTTTTCCTAAAGCTAAAAATACATATTATGAAATTATCCTTAACTTGTGTATTGGATTGAAATCCTGAATCCAACTCATGACATATACAAAATTTATACAGTTGATGTACAGAACGTGCAACAAAGATTCGGAATTTTGACTTTTTATTCGCAAGAAACATGAATTCCACAAAATTTTTGAGTCACAACTTTTACCTAATGCTTATTTTGCTGGCGCTGGATGACGTTTTCAATAATGCTCCAACTCAAAGACCACATGTGCTTTTTTGAACCGGAATTATGTTCATATAATTGATTGGCAAACTAACTGCACCCAATCGCGGATTTTTGGACCATTTTAAAGAAAAAAGTAGAGAAAAAAACAAGTATTCAGGTTAATAAACGAAAGGAACTTGGTTCAAATGAAATTATGAGATAGTATCAATAAAAAGTGTAATTTAGCCGTGTGTACGCCAGAGCATCTTAATGAGGTGAGTGTTGCAAGATAGACTTCTAAATTTTTAAACATAAAGAAGTATCTATGTTATTTACTATATACATTTTAAATTTGAGCGATATAAAATTAAATGATTTTTTATATGTATGCAATCAATGCCGAAGCTTTATTGCGCGTACTGTAAATCAAACTATAAATTTTGAGCTTTACTAATTAGATCTAAATTATCTAGATAAGAAACCCCATTAATCGAAACAATTGCTACAATTGTTAAGCAAAAAGGGCTAAAAGATGAATTATCTAAATAATCGTACGACTTTCACGGGCTTGTATAGATAAAGTAACTAAATTCGGCGGTGTCTTTTACCATCTAATCTTATAGCAAGATCTCTTAAACTATATTTGAATTGGTACCTCCAGAAATTCAAGAAACAGGACAAAAACCGGTTCACAGATCCGTGAACTTAAAATCTCATTTTTTTTCTAGAATTTTAATTTTTAAGTTTCCAGCAATCAGATGATTTTACTTTCGCGGGATAGA